ACCATTGGCATCAATAACTCAGCCCCTGACACACTGATGGGATTTGCAGCTTATTCCTTGCTGAGACTTCCACAGCCCCAGAAAGAACCTCTCAGCACTTGTGTGTCTATTTTTGCCTTGCAGGGAAAACAAGATTTGGAAGCCTTAGCTGTAAATATGAGTGACTGTATATACCTTAAAAATAATTTGGGAAATAATCACTGTTGATTTGATCCTAGGAAATAAGAGCTGAGTAAAATGATTATTGGAACAGCTTCTGGTGATCAGCATACAAGTTAGATATAAATGTCCATGTTACATAAAATAGTTGTGCCAGTTTTTAACTTATAGTCTGATGGCTGAAAATTAGATAATTATCCACTCTGACTCACAAGGACATGTATATGTAACTCCAGAATGTGTGCTATCCTTGCATGCATACATACATGCTTACATTTTATAGAACTTGGTGGGGAGGGGAATGCACTCCTAAAGCAGCAGACAAAAATTAAAACCACATAAAACAATAACCAGAAGAAACTATCACCTGACAGCCTATATTAGGGATATAAAGTGGAAATCTCTACATGCATAGCCATGCACTAGTTGTACTATGTAACACTTAGATTGACTGACAACATTGTCCACTCAGGTGCCAAAATAATTGTGCAATGCTTCTGAATTCACAACCAAATGCACATTCACATTGCATCTCATGCTCAGCTCCACTTCTGTGACCTCAAACTGAAGGTGGAAATTGCTCATCAGATGAAGATGTCCAGCTGCTTTCATAAGGGAACTGAGTTTTAGTTTTTCATACAGCTAAAAAAAAAACAAACCCTGACTTACCTTTCCCAGTTTGAGTCCTCTTCTGGGATGTAGCCGGATATTATCACAGCTAAGTCACCACCGATTCCGCCAGCCAAGTGCAGCCTAGCTGCACTCTGGGTCCCAGGCACCTCTTTTCACAGTTGGAAAGCTCCTGGCTTAGAAAAATGGCTGCTGAAGTGCACCTGGGACCTGGGATGTAGCCGGGGTGTACTCAGCAGGTGGAATTGGCAGAGACTTTGGTGTGATAATACCTGGCTGCATCCTGGAGGAGGATTCAAACCAGGAAAGGTAAGCTGGGATTTTTAGCTGTGCAAAAAATGCCCTAGACATATGTAAGTCAATAACAGGATTACAAACCCACAAAAGTTAAGAAAGCCTGAAAGTACCATCTAATAAGCATCTAATATACTAGTTCAGTCATAAGTCACAGTGAAAAGTCATGTCTTTAGGGCCAATTTGATTGCTTATAATGATGGGACCTGACAGACATGGGTTCAAAAACATTCCAGCAGGAAAGGATTGACACTGAGAAAGTCCTGTACTTTGTGTCATAAATTATAGAAGATACAAGCAATACAACTGTTGCAATTTTTAGTCAATTTCTTGAGGAAAAGGTCTTTCAGATATCTAATATATTATCAGTACCTCAAGAGTCACATTGGAGCAGTGTATTTATGAGGACAATTAAAAAATCATTAGATCATGCTCTATCTTTCAAGATCTCCAGATCTATTTGTTAGGAAGGATACTACAAGAAAGAGGCCAGGCCAGGATCAGGAAGAAGGAGGGGGAAAACTAACATGATGTTGAAAACATCAGCAACATCAACCCAACTTTTTTTCTCTCTACCCTACTCCTATTTTGTTACATCTTGTCTGATGAAGAGATCTGGAATTCCTGAAACCTTGCATGCTATTCTGTGACCTTTGGATGGTTCTCACAGACATTGTCTGAATAAGACTTTTCCCCCTATGGATCACACAGCTACTTTTTCTTTTATGTCTCATGAAATTGCTTTGGGTGTAGAATTCAGAAACATAGCCATGTTACTCTGGAGTATCAGTATGCAAAGGGATCTTGTAGCACATTTGAGACTGTGTGAAAGATGTTGTAGCATAAGCTCTAGGAAAGCTTATGCTACAACCTTTTTGTCTCAAAGGTGCTACAAGATCCCTTTGCATAATGAGATTGTGCTGGGTAAGTGACACCAGTTTTTCTGGAATTTATAGGAATGGTGGATTAAACTGGTATGAAAAACCTAGCAAAGGATCTATGTCTCTCTGGAAAAAATGTGAATTCTCTTATATTCCCTTTTTTCTGTCTCCATATGTCTATCAAATTGAAAGAATCCATTAACATGAAAAAGGGTTTTGGTAATCTCCCTTGTTTTTCTTTTAATTTCTTACTCGATAATCTATCCAATTGTGGATCTATTACAGCATTATAGTCTCCACATATAACTATTTCTTTCCCAATATATTCCTGTAATTTTTCATTGTTTTTTTTTTTTTTTGTAAAATTTTGCTTTTTTTCTCTTGTGGGGCATATATTGCCACTATTATTATTTCCCTCCCTTGTAGTTTTATTTCTATCCCTATGTAGAACCCATTTGGATCATTGAACTTTTTAGTAATATAAATGATAACTCCTCTCTTTTTTTTGTTTAAAGGATGAGACATACTCCATTCCAATTTTTAAATTCTTTAACATTCTTCTATCATTATTTCAAATGTGTGTTTCCTGTAAGGTAACTATATCATACTTCAATTGGGATATTTTATGAAAAATCTCCTTTTTTTGTCATTTAAAACTTTTACATTCCAGGATAATAAAGTTATATCTTTTAGTTCAGAGATTTGTCTTTATCCTTAATTACCTTTTTCCGTATCTATGTCCTCTTCTAAGATTTCTTCTTCTCCGTTTTCTTCTTCTCCCCCTTCTTTGGTACATAAAGGTGTTTCTTCATTTTAGTTTCTTCCCTATTTTTATTTGCCGATCTCAATTTTTCTCTATAGATTTGGGATTCTTGTTTTTCTGAGTTCTTTTTTAATTCTCTATTGCATCATTTCCAAAAGTCCTTCACTTTTTTAATAGAGTTCAGTTTGTACCATCTTTGTCTAAAGAACACTGAAATCCCTTTTCCCATTTATAATTAATACCATTTTTGTTCAATAAAGAAGTTAGGAATTTATAGTCCTCCCTTTTCCTTAGTATGTTTTTAGAAATATCTTTTAAAATCTTTCTCCTCATTGTCCACTATAAAGGTTTTCTTACAGCTTATTTCAAGTATTTGATCTCTCATTCTTTTCCTTACAAAGTAGATCACTATGTCACGGGGCCATCCTTTATCTTTTGCTACTTG